ACATAATTTTTTTCTTGATAAAAAAGATAAACAATCTTTTTATCTAAAAAGACATTTCAGTCCCTGATTTGTCTTGCTGATAATATGCATTATCTAAAAATACACCCAAATACCTCACACATGTTTTTGTTTCAATTCTGACTCCATTGCAGAATAGTGAAAAAGATTTTAGATTAAACTTATCAAGTTTCCATCGAGGATCAAATAATAATGTTCAGTTTACCCAAATGGAGACACAATTTATTATCAACTAACCAATCTTACAAGAGTTTTTTTTTTTAGAAATAACATCTGGATCTTTGTGGGAAAAAAGTTTAGCAGTATCATCAGCATATAAAATTACTTTACTTTCATGGTCTATACAAGGACATAATGATAATAAATTCTTTCCTATCTTTCTAAATAATATCATTTTGACAATGAAGAGCTGTAAAGAATTGTGTTATATTAATAAGATGAAAGTGGTATTTGCTTTATTAAAATATTACATTATTAGTTTAAAATTAAATATAGGGAGATAACGATTGACAATTGTAGTAAAATATCCAAATATGAAACAGATGTGTCAGACTTTGTGATATCTTTTATCTCAAGCTCACCGGAACATATCGTGTCGACATTAAAATGGAAATAATCACTGTTGATTGACAATACGTCGTCGATGTATCTAAATGTCAAGTTGAAGGCCATAGCAAGTGTTTTCTCCTTTTTCACGTTAAACATGTTGAAGGCATAACTCAAATTGTGAAAAATTGTGGTGATATGAATTTACTTTAAAAAAGCGTCTAGTCTGGTATTTTACTTCTAGTGACTTGGCACCTGATCCCACCTCTGATGTTTCGGGGGTCCTCGTTTGCTCTGCTCTTATTTTGTATTGTCTTATGGACTTTGAGATTGAATACTGTTCGTTCTCTTCATATCCCTCTTGTATTGTTTTATGGACTTAAGATTGAGTACCGTTCGTTCTCTCCATATCCTTCTTTTAGTGTTCTTTAATGGCATTATTGAACTAGCTCGATAAAAAAAAAAGGTTTTCTGCGTTTATTCTAACCTCAATTCATCTATTCACGGTGTTGTGGAGATAGACTATGTTTGCTATTTAATTCATTTATGTTTAAGTACATAATAAAATATATTTGTGACGAGTTTGTTATTGTGCAAAGGACTAATTGCAAATAAAGATATGACATGTAAGATATAATTCACCTTCATGTATTAAATGATTGAACTCTGTTTTATTATTTCTATGCTTTAGCAGGTTTTGGGAATTTAAAGTTAGGTCCCTCAGATTAGTTTACAGAAGAGTTGGATTGATCTACAAGCCTTGAACAATTATTTCACTCATGTTGGGAAGCCAGTTGACCGACATTTTTGTTCTAACCATTGTGGCTTGTAGGCTCCTTTGATTTTGGATACAAAGTTACTGTATACAAATTCATAATACTTGGTTATTACATAGGAGAGTGTAAAAAAAACTTTTCTTTTGAATTTCTTTGACAAATTATCTTTATCTATGGCTCATTTTTAAAGGGACTGTCTTTAAGTTGAATCTAGTGTCACTATTTTTTGTTGTTGAAAAATTAGTATCATAGTAGAATAGAATTTAGTTTGAAAGATTTAAAATGTATTTTCAGATTTTATAGTATTTTCTTGTGTAACATGTAATGTGCATTCAATCTTTCTTATGAAACTTGTGAAAATTTACTTTACCGCAAGTTAGTATGAATATTGATAAACCAAATTTTTAATTTAAGGTTATTGTGATTCAACAAATATTTGTTTCAAAATTTGGTTTTTAAGTATAATCTAGACTATCTTGTCATATCTCAGTTAAGATGAATTTATCATGATAAAGCGCAGAACATCTGAAACATCAGAGGTGGGATCAGGTGCCAAAAGAGTAAATATACCCTGTCTATGAGTCACATCTGCCATTTGCTCAGTCATCATCGCCCAAATCCGACCCAATGGTTGGCTATATCTGCTGATCATAGAATTTACGAAATGCCGACTTTAAAGGCTGTTGAAATCACTGTAACACCATTTAATTAGTTATTTCCCTGCTTCGCTTTCAGGATTGAAGTTCTCAGAGCAAGCCCCCCCCACCCCCCCACCCCCCGATTAGCCAGCATAAAGAGGATACTGTGAAATCATAAATTTGCGTGGGGGTTTAATTTTCGTTGTTTTCGAGGTTTGAAGAGACCCACGAATTCATGTCCACCACGAAACGTAAAATGTTACATACACCACAACGCAACAATTCTTCATCCTCGAATTCAAATCACCACGAACCAAGAGTTTTTCCTCAAACCACGAAAATTTGACCCCACGAAAATATGTGATTTTACAGTATATATATATATATATATATATGTAATACTGTGAGCAGGTAATAGTGGTATATTACTGTACATAAATAAAGACCAGAAGTCTCTGTCGAGACTGTAGCTCTATTGGTTTGTACTTATAACAAAGGATGAGAAAAGAAGCCATTGCCATTAGACCAAAATGTTGAAGGAATTTCAGACATTTCTATTTTTATTAACCATGGCAACACAGTTCATCGAAATCAAAATTCGACGCACTATTCTATGTATCTTAGTGTAGTCTACTTGTGTGCAAAATTATATTGAAATCAGACCAAAACTGTAGGAGGAGTAGTGTTTTAAAGCAATTTCACAGAAAATTCTATTTTAGTAACACTTGCAACACCCTTTAATGAGATCAGAAACCGATGCACTATTTTATGTATCTTAGTGTAATCTACTTGTGTGCCAAGTTATACTGAAATCAAATTAAAACGGTAGGAGGAGTAGCTTTTAAAGGAATTTCACAGAAAAATTTTATTTTTAGGAACCATGGCAACACCGTTCAACGAAATCAAAAACCGATGCACTATTTTCTGTATCTTAGTGTAGTGTATTTGTGTGAAAAGTTATAATGAAATCATACCAAAACTGTGGGAGGAGTAGCATTTTAAAAAATTGTTTACAGACAGACGGATAGACAGACAGCTTGACAGACAGACGGACGGACGACCTTACAATGGCATAAGCTCTTCTGGTCTCTTACTAGTAGAGCTAATAAAACCAAACAAAAACTGTAGGAGAGTAGCATTTTGAAAGTATTTTTTTTTAATTCTATTTTTAGTAACAATGGCGACTCTTTGAAACCAAAAACCGATATACCGAATTATGTATATTTGTGAAGTCTTCTTGTGTCCCAAGTTATATTGAAATCAGATTAAAACTATAGGAGGAGTAGCATTTTGAATGATGTTCACAAAAAATTCTGTTTTTAGTAATAACGGCCACACCGTTCATCGAAATCAAAAACCAATACACAAAATTATGTATCTTAGTGTGGTCTACTTGTGTGCTAAGTTATATTGAAATCAGATTAAAACTGTAGGAGGAGTAGCATTTTGAATGATTTTCTCAAATTCTATTTTTAGTAACAACAGCAACACCGTTCATCGAAATCAAAAACCGATAAACAGAATTATGTATCTTAGTGTAGTCTACTTGTGTGCCAAGTTATATTGAAATCAGATTAAAACTGTAGGAGGAGTAGCATTTTGAATGATTTTCACAAAAAATTCTATTTTCAGTAACGGCCACACCGTTCATCGAAATCAAAAACCGATAAACAGAATTATGTATTTTAGTGTAGTCTACTTGTGTGCCAAGTTGTTTTGAAACCAGACCAAAACTGTAGGAGGAGTAGCATTTTGAAAAATTGTTAACAGACGGACAGACAGCTAGACAGACAGGCGGACGCATTACTATCGCATAAGCTCTTCTGGTCTCTGACCAGTAGAGCTAACAAATGACAATCATGAGAAATCATGAGAAAGCTGGTCATCTCGATTGTCATACAATTGAGTTGTTAATTGGCCTTTATCACCTATCAGTCGGTTAAATAGCCAAAATTGAAACAGATTTGACAGATTCTGTGGTGCCTTTTATTTCAAGTTCATATGGAGAGTCGACAACAATGGTTAATTGATAAATCATCGTCGATATACATGTATCTGCATGTCGAATTGAAAGCCAGAGCAAGTGTTTTCCTTTTATCGTGTAGAAATTTTTGAATAAATTCTGCTTCAAAAATATTAACAGGTCAGCTAGTAAAGGGGCACAATTAGTGCAAGTCGAAATTCCAACAGTTTGATGGAAAAATTTGTCTCCGAAGACTACATTAATGTTGTCAATGAAGATCTCCAGCATCCTTTTGATATCAACTTCAGTGAGAGAACTTCTATGTACAACCAGAGTGGTTTTTTAACAAAGTAATTTTGTTGATGTCCAAACAAAAAATATGAAAATTTCGTAGTTCTTTTATTCGAATAAGTGATATCACCTATTCGAAAGGAATAGGTGATATGACCTATTCCAATTAGCGATATCACCAATTCAAATCAAATCAGTGATATCACCTATCTGATGAGGTGATATCAATTATTCAAATGGGTGATATCAGCTATTCAAAATCTGATGAGGTGATATCACTTTTTCCAAATATTGATATCACCAACTGAATAGGTGATATTACCTATTCCAATATGTGATGTCTTTTTTGGCAGTAAATACCAAAACGGCACCCCATATTCTTGTGATCAGATATATATTATTGGCTCAAATGACATTTGTTTGGAGACTGATCTTCTTCTCCTTCTGGTAAGTATAACCCGCTTCACAAGTGCGTGAGAAGTATTATTAAGATTTTGATAGCTGCCCATCTATGTCCTGACATTCTCTTTTTGAGTGAGTCTTTATTTTCCCAATATGAATGAGTCCACTTAGTGTAAATTTAGTTCCATAAACAGCATTTGAAGATTTATAAGTTATATTTTCACCAGGATGAAATTTTTCAAAATCAAGTGTCAATTTTAAATATTTTACAATTACATGTACCAACAATCAAAATTTTTCTGAATTACTAATACAATACCTAAAATGGATTGCTGCCTTCATAAAAATACCCCAGAATGACAGAAAGATACACAGATATATTCAATGTTTTATTCTGTCCAAAATATTTTTCCAGAGAAGCACAAAATTATCTATGATGAATCTTGCAATACACTTCTAAAGACAGTTTTGACTTTTAATTTTACTTCTATCAAAAATCTTTTCAATTGAAATTTGAAACTGTCTATTTGATTCTCTCTTGGAGAAAAATTTGTACAGGAATATCCAATTTGTGACATATTTTTTCTATCAGATTGAGCATTTTATAGTTAATTTTTGGACACAACCATCCCAGAACTTCACAATTGTTTCCTCAGAATATACAATCATGTATATGTTATCTTCTGTATGGAAATTTTGCAGCAAAAATTGATTTATGGAACCAGTGACACAGAGTAACTCAGACTGTGTTCCATTTGTATGAGGCCACAATTGCTGGACTCACACTAGGACACAGTGTTCTATCTGTACAATAAGACCTGTCTGTTTACACACGGTGACAGTGTGCTATCTGTGGTAGGCTGTTGTTTGTTGGACCCATTTCTGGTGATGTGTGCTATCTGTGGTAGGCTGCCATTCTCTGGACCCGCACCAGGTCGTGTTGTAACAGGTATAATGTCTTTTTGAGGGCGGGAACGTCAGACAGCAGGTCTCTGTCAGCAGGACCTGAGGAAAAGTTGGAATCTGCCGCCTCCAGGGCTGAAAAAAGATTTATAAAACATGATCTGTATGATCCTAATCAACATAATGATGAAAACTAACATTAATTTCTTCAATGTAAAAATTCTTCCAGAACCAGAACATTTAATATTAATAATGAAATTCTGTCTTAATTATTTTCCAAATTTTAGAGTAGGTTATTTACAAGATGTTTAGAAATGTAAGAACTTTAGTGCTTTATATGGAACTGTGGACCTACCACAGACTTGTTCCTCGATGTGATCCAGCCTCTGCTCGATTTCTGTCTGGACTCGGAGGATGTGCTCCAACAGATTCCTCTCACAGAGTTTGAACGGATCTTCCTTCACAACATCCACAGAGTTCAAAAGGTCACACACATCTTCCACCTTGACCTCTGACCCTACAGACTGATCCAGTGGTAGTTCTATGCTAGATTTGGCTTGGTCTGATTGAGACTGTTCTGAAGGAGTTGTTGTGTGATTTGATCGGTCCATCTGAGTTTTCTTTCCCTGCCCACTCTCTGCTGTGGAAACTTCACCATTACCAGTGTTTGAGCCAGTAGCCTTTACTTCAGTCTTGTCAGTGTTTGGTGTGTTAACTATACTTGCTGAATCACTCTCACTGACTGGTTTAGAGCTTTCAGGTTTCTCTTGAGCGTTCTTCTGTTTCTCAGAATTATTTTTTTCTTTAGATATTAGTCCTTGGTTTGAACTTTTAATGCTTTCATCTAGACCACTATTCTCTGTTTTTGTACCTTCTTTGGATTGTGAAAGGTCCCCCACAGTTTTATCCGTAGCACTCTCAAGTCCTTCCCTTTTGTTAGAATTTTCCTGTAGCTCTGAATTGACTTGGTGCTCTTTGTCTGTATTTACTGTCAAGCTTCCACAAGCACTATCACTGCCTTCCCCTTCAGTCTTCTGGGTATTTCCTGTTTCTAACTCAGTCTTCTGGGGAGTTCCTGATTCTAACTCAGGATTTTGGTCCGGGACCTCAGTCTTTTTATTCAGATCTGTAGAGATGTCCAGGCTTATCTCTTCACTCTCGCTGTCGACATCAGGCTCTATAGGGTCAAACTGGACATTGTCTAGGTTCTGTAACCACATCTGAAGCATAGGATCGCGGTGGTCCTTCTTTCTGTATAAAAAAAAGGTAAATCAAAATGAAACCTTTATACTACCCTTTCAAATGCAGTAAACTAATGTCTTGATGAAAAATATAATGCCCTCTTTGTGAACTTCCAATTTACAAATTGTATCTGTTTTTTTTTAAAGAAAGAATGTTAAAATATATCAAAATTAGCTCGTTTTAACAGTCAATGATTCCTGAGATGCACTGAAAATTAAGCTCCTATTCAACGGACCAAGAGATGGGCATCTTACTTCCAGTTTATTGATTTACAGTCTTTCTCAAAACAACATTGTCTTTTTCATTATGAGTGAGGAATACCTGACAGTTTTCAGTTTCTGTTTCAGGCCGTGAATCACTGCTGAAACATTGTGTAGGTCACCCACAAGGCCATGTGTGGCCTGAACAGTTCTGCAGCAACTCTCATCTTCTTCCTGATTGGGTAAAAATCCAAAGTGAGCCATGTGACCCAGCTTCAACCAATCCTGGTCGTGTACATAAAGCCGACTGTCCCGGATTCCTGGAGAGTATAACACAGAACTATATATACAATCAATGTCATGTAAATTATGTCCATTTGGAAACAAGTTATTTCAAACATTATCATCATTGTTAACGAGGCTGGGGTGTGGCAGCCATTTTCAGACATTTTGATCTCCTTTAAAAGAAGAGCTCCATATAAAGATATACAAAAATGATCAAATTTTAAAACTAAAATGTATGAATTTTTCTTTGCCAAATGATAGTTGACAGCTTAAGATACCATATCTAAAAATATAAGTTACGAGGGGCTATCAAAAAGCGCCATAAAATTAAAACCGCTTTAGGTACATGAATGAATTTTAAAATATCTAGTTATCATCATTTTTTCTATCTATAGAATAAATCATAAATCATAAATTTTATTTTTTAATAAATTAGTAATGTTTTTGTAATCAATGGTATGTCTATGCGGCGCAACCTCGAAAACGAGGTTTTTTTCGGCCTAAGTGTAACTAAGAAAAACTATTGTGGCATGTACATTTGACATCCAAAAATCCCGTTAAATCAGATATGTTTTGGGACACTGTTGTTCCATAAAATATTAAATTTGTACCTCATTCAGGAAGTTCAATGAAATTTTATTGTGAATTTAACATGGAGTATCGAAACAAATATTGCCTTTAAAATGATGTCAAAAGGGGGAGGTGTTTCCTTTTCCAACATTCTATAAAGTTTTGCCCCTGGAAAAAACTGGTATACACCTAGGAAATGTTTAAACTGGCTACGGAGAAATATATGCATCTAGATTACTTGTTTTTAATGCCAAAATAGATTCAGAGAGAAAAGGAATGCACAGTTAATATCGATTTGTAATCAAGGTGTGAAAAATATAAAATGACGTCAAAAAATGACGTTGATCATGTGTTGTAGATATTGAACTCCAAAAAGCAAAACATGCTGGCACAATCAAGCTAGGATTTCTGCCATTTATAAATCCATTCACAATAGTATATGCTTTGAAAGCTGCTGTTCACAACATTGTAAAGTCAAGAAAACAAGACGAATTGAAGTCCTTACTCAGTTCCAGGGAATCTCAACAAAATAAATGTACGAGGTAGAAGAAGCAGACATTGAAAAACAATGACATTGTCGTACGTCATAAAACTAAATGTCGATTTCATTTTATAATAATTTGGGAAACAATGAATGTATCAAGCTTAAATTTTCAGCATTTCTTTATATTTTGTTGTTTTATGTTTTCTTAAAAATTTTGTAAGCTCAGACTACATAGTATTAATTTTATAGCCCCAGTCCACAAACTTTTTGATAACCCCTCATAAATCTGGTGGTTAATTTTTGGTTAATTTGTTGATCCCCCAGCTTCCTTAAAACTATAGAAAATTCCATAAAAATGATAATTATATAATTTCAAAGGGAGGTAGCACAGGCACTTATCTTGTATACAGACAAATTGGTATTAGTGTTTTTTCTGTTATTTACCCACACACTTACCTGGAGGATTTTCACACACGTAACAGATGTACTTTTTGGGAAGTGTACTCTCTGTAATTTCAAAACAGGCTGCATGCTGCCAGCAGAGACATACATCACACTGTAAATAGAAAAAATCAAATTCTAACACTATTTTCTCAACAGTGACAATGTCTATACTCAATATTTCTTTCAGCAAGCATGTGGTACTATGACCATTGAGCTCACAAAATGATACTCCCTACCCCCTTAAATGCTCTTATGTGAGCAAAATGATAAAGTCCATTTTTTGCTGTTGAAACTCCTCAATATATTTCCGATTAGAACATAAAATAGCACACCGCAATAATAATACCTTAAAACAATCCTGTGAAAGTCTAATTAAATCTATTCAATGATATAGGAGGCATTAGAGATAAGAGATGGATTCCCCAATATTATGGAAAGAAATGGCAGTGTTCAGTTTTTCTTCAGGGAAACACAGAATGGATGCACAATGACAATGTAATTAAGATTCTGTGAAAGACTCTTTCATCCAGTGGTATAGGAGGATCGAGTTGCACAAAGTGGAAATAAAAGTCAATTAATACAGGCTTCCTTGTAAAAATCAATTTAAATAGAAAACAATTACACAGGTAAAATTGCAACGTATGTTCAACATATATGGTTCTCAAAACATATACAGTAGAACACTAAATTTTCGCAACAGCTTATTTTCCCGAGATAGTCATTGACTCTTGATTAGCGAGACAAAATTTTCGCGAATTATGGGTATTGATCTATATACTGTAGAAGTGGAAAACATTAGGGTGTTTTTAATTTCACTATGTTCGCAATTTTAGAATTTTCCACGAATTTTAAACCATCGTGATTATTATTTCATGTCATTTCTACCTAGAAATATTCATAGTACCTGAACATTAACAAACGATTCTCCGTGAAATTAAAACCACCGTGAAAGGTAACTTTCTAACAAACCATGAAATTTTAGACACATGAAATAAAAGACGTCTATAGTATTCTTAAGGAATACTATTATAGGCGAGAATTAAATTTTCGCGAGCACACTGTCTCGCGTAATTATGCGAAAATAAAGTTCTTGTGAATAAAAAGTGATTTACAGTACTGAACATCCATTGCAATTTTACCTGTGTATAAGAAAAGAGACACTGAATAAAATCACATCATATTTCTCTATTTGATATATTTATACCTGAATCATGAGTCCATTTTCTTCGTTAAATCTACAGATACAGTTGACCACTTCATCTTTACTGAGGGTATCCTCGTATTCTGTTTCCATGGATTCCTCGGCTATCATCACATCCTGACTCATAGAACGGGCTCTCTCTCCAGACTTTAATCCTGTAATATTCCAACAAATAGCATGAGGGATGATACTTAAATATATATTAATGTTTATGCTCAAAATGTTGAACTAGGATGAACTGTATGGGAGCACCCTAAACTAATGATATGAATACTAGCTTGTATAAATTTTCTTCACCAAAAAACTGAACTATATATTCGGCAAAATTTAGTTCAAAATGCAGAACTAACAAAATGGCATTTTCCCAACTAACACAGCTCATAATAAAAGATGCATCTAAAGCTACCATTGGAAAGAGAAATTGATCAACTTTAAAAGAACTCGTTCATGTCTTACCTTCAGATAGAAGCTGACCCTCCACATTAAGCTGCTCTGAGCCCGCCAGTTCGGTGGTGCCCTCGTATGAGGTGCTGGGTCGACAGAGGGAGCCACTGGAGGGGTACCGCTGTCTGGGGGGGACGGAAATGTCTGAGTCTGTAGAACCTGTCAGGGGGGGTCAATATTACTTATATTATATGTAATGACTTAACGCCACTATTTCAGAATAAGCAACAGTTATGAATACATGTATTCAAGTTATTTAACTCATTAAGATAATACTCCTTAACCATTTTTAAAATGAAACCCAGAAATAAATGAAAAATTATATTGAATTTATTATCTACTTGATAATTTATTTAAATACAATAATCTAAATACTAATGAAAGAAGAATTATGCCCCCCTTCCCCACCCTCCCCCCCCCCCCCATGGAACTGTTAATCTGATATACATACAAATACTGGTTGTTTTCCGTCGTTTCCTGGGTGGGTTTTGTGGAGGCTTGCCGTCATTAGAGTGGTAGAACTTGATGTGAGATTCCAGCAGAGTCTCCTTACGGAAGCCCTTGTTACAGTCCTCAAACGTACACTTAAAATGGTTGTGTTCCGGCTCAATGACGAAGGCTTTTGGTGGAAGGGCTGTCTCAGGAACCAAAATGTAGTTGGCTTTTAAACAAATAAGAATTAAAATAATACATCTGATTCATCTATATGTCAGTCAAAATAAATCAATTTTACTGTCCAGTCCAACCAAACCGTGATAGTTTATGTTGATGTTAAAAAAATCAAAAATATTCCTCTTCAACTAGATATACATGTACATTTGTACTAATACTGATTATTTGCTAGCACAGTTAAACTTTTGATTTCTCATACACAGTTATCTTGAATATCATGACTATGTCAAAGTCAACTGAAATCCCAACTACTCTTTTTAAATGTATTTTAAAACTCTTTATATTGAATTCTCAGTCCCTTCAAGGTTAAGAAAAATTTTGACTGTAGCCTATACATGTTATCCTTCTTTATTTTGAAATCCATTCTAATTGGAATACAATCAATTAGAAGATTACTTTTCTCTTCGTCTAATTAAAGACAGCATTTATATTTTACAAGTTGACTTGAAACAACCCCTCAATTTCTCATTCAAGTAACAATCTTGTATACATACCTCTCTCGTTTGTCGACCGGCTTCGTTTCCGTGAAGAATGAGGCTGGTCAGATTTCTCTCCCTTTTCCGTTGATTTACTTCTCTTCCTCGCTGAACTCTCTCCTGACTGAGTGTTGGGAGAAAATGTCTGTTTACGACTTTTTCTGTTCTCTACAATACATTAATTAATAGATTATAATCAAAGAGACCCAAGCTACTTGTCCTGAAAAGCATTATATTTAACACAACATGATGCAACAGACTGGCAAGTCTCATCAAGGTTTACATCTGATTCTTAGTGGTGGGATAGTAGAAAGGGAGAGAATAAAATACCCATTCATTTGCTTACTTCTATGCTTACTTTTGCCTTTGGGTGGGAGTCCTGGAGTAGGGATTTCCAGAGATGGACCAGTTCCTGCTGTATGTGCACCGTCTGTCTTCATACCCGGAGACTGTTTTGGAGTTGATGGGGAGGACGACACTGCTATAGAGATAGAATATGATCAGATCACAGAAGCATCTGATTACCTTTTAAGCATTAACATAGACTGAATTTAAAATTAAATATTCATGTGTTATTAATTAAAAATACATGTACACATTCATGAATCATGGCACTGCAGGATACAGAACAGACCTCACAAGCTTGGCTTACTTTAAAGGTACTGTATACAGTGTTTTTTTGCCCCGTGTTATTTCCGTCCTTTCACACTTCAAAACAATTTTGCCCCATTTTAAATTCACCAAGCCACTCTTCTGTTTGTGAAATTATGCTGTGTTATTTTATTCACCCAGTTTTATATTCCCCCACCAATGGGTCTGTATGCAGTATTTAGAATTGTACATAGTTATTGAATTAAGATTAACAAACTCACCAGATAGAGTGCTTGCTGGAGAAGGAGGCATTGAGGAGAGAGGGGTGGCCATTGGTGTACTGGGGGCAGACATCAACCCCGGGGCAGGTGTACTGGGGGCAGAGGCTGGTACAGGTGCCCCAGCAGGTGCTTCAGGTGAGCCAGGGCCAGGTAGAGGAGTTCCTGTGGCTGGGGGCCCCTCTGAGGTGGGGTCTGATACAGCTGGTGGTGCCAGCAAACTGGGAGTAGGCTGGGCGACTGGGGTGGTGTCTGTGGAGACTTTTGTTACTGAAGAGTCTTCAGAATCTGTGGTTGGTGGAGCAGATGCATCTGCCTGAAAAAGAAATATTGCATCCATAAGTTAAGGATAAAATCTTCACTTTCATTGTATAGTAGTTTATGAAAAGAATTTTTGCTATTAGACTCTTGACTTCACCTGTTCTGTAACAGGTGTAACACCAGAATCTTCTGTTGGTGGCTGTTCCATCAAGCCCCCTGTATCCTCAGGCTGTTCCACTGCACTCCCCGTGCTGTCCATCGTTTCATCAGTCGTTAACTCTTTACTTGAGCAGCTCCCCGTTTTGGATCTCTCTGATGATGTTGATCGATCTCGCTTCTTAAACAGAGATCCTGCGATGATTAACTTCTTCTCCCCTTTCCTCTGTCTGCGTTCTTTACTTGGCCGTCGTTTGCCATCATCACTAGTGGTACTTCTCGTCCTCTCTGTTATTTTCCTTGTAGACTCCATATCTTTCGGGGTTTTATCTGTGATATAAATAAAGTACCAGTCAGTAAATGGGCACACCTTTATTGTTTTTATAACATTTTCTGCTTGGCGGAGAAGGCCATATTACTAGTATGTTAAAGTATCTACTACAGGATACAAAACTGTACATTATATGTTTCTCCTGCTGTCTTATATGTTCTGTACCAGTGTGGTTCAGATAGTTATCTACCTACCCAAGCTCCCTTCTCTCCTGGAGTAAATTGATGAGCTTCTCCTCTTGTTGGGTAGAGTGGCTGTATGAAAAACATAAAAACATAATATTTATATTGCTTTTGGTGTACAAGTGTTAGTGGAAGACTCTATTGTTTTGGCTGTCAGATGCATATTATATATGTTTGACCTTAAATTTCAAATTGTAACCAAAATAAACAGAGAAAAATCACTGACAACTTTTTTAGGGCAAGTAAGGGTACAAACAGGATCTTAATAAGGATCAACAACATATTTTATACCAGAGCTACTTAGAATCTCTCACCCATTTCTTCCTCCATCGATCTTTTCCTCTCATCTTTGGGTAAAACATGAACAATCTCTATTTTCTACAAAAATAAAAACAGCCTTTGTTTGAAAATAATTAAGAGCTCTAAGAAATCTGGTAAATATGTGATGTCAAAATGACATACATGTAGCACTCATTCTCTTATATTTTATTCTAGTGTATTCAATGCTTGTATTTGAGTGTGGAATTTATTTCAAACGTGGGAAAGGATTTTAAAAAGACATCTTCATGAATTTTATGTTTATAAGTCCAAGTGAAAAAAAAAACATGTCTCAAGAGTGAAATTTCATTTACAAATACAAAACATAAGACTTTAGGCTTATTGAACTTTCTTTAAAATTTTTGTTTACTTTATTCTTTTAAGACATTCACAGGCTGTGACATCATATTTTAGCAGTAATGGCTATTTCAAATATAATGTTTGTTCAACCTCTCCCAACTCAGGTAAAAATATTGGATGGAGCTAGGCCCTTCATTTTAACAATGTAAACTTCCCTTTATCCAAGGATACTTTGTATCAATATCGGTTAAAATTAGATCATGAGTCTTTAGAAGAAGTTGAAAATGTTAAAAGTTTACAGATGAACTGGGTGACAAAAGGTGATCACAGAAGTTCACTTGAGAAACATGCAGTCCCTTTTATTTACAGGTATATTTGCTCACTAGTTCTTTGTAATTTGACCCTGTTCCTTGTTTTTTATCTATACCTGCTGTTGTAATTCTTTAGGCATTGCTTTTATGTTGATTCCCTGTACAGTCTTCTTAAAGCCATCATAAAACAAAATATCATATGATCCTGTTTAAAGAAAAATAAAATTTTCATTAAAAATATTCTGCAATGAAATCTGGAAAATTTCCATTTAATAGCTTTTACAAAAAGGACAGAGAAGGGATTATATTTAAGAAATAAAGTATCATTTTTATACATCTATTTGGATATAAATATAGGTTAATAGTCACGAGATTAAATTCCATAAAGCCCGAAGGGCTTTATGATGAATTTAATCTCATACCAACCATTTTTAAACTTTAGAAATAACTATTAATTATTAAAACTAATTATATTATTACCATCAGCAAGAACAGCTGTGACTTTCCCAGGATACATTTTACAATCCGTCCACTTGGCATAAACATGGTCCCCCAGTTTATATTCCTGTTTACAAAAAAATCACATCATTATAGCAGAGAAGTAAGATTTCTTTGATGTGCATGACTTACATAACCATGATAACCATGTAATTAAAAGCAAAATAATTTGACAGGAATTATCCTCATAAAAAATTTAAGAAGATCTTGATCTCTTTTTCTATTTAGATACAAAAATCAAATTTGTGAATGTCTTGTTTTATTTTAAACTTACGGATTGTTTGGCCTTCCCTTTTCGCGATGAGTGCCTTGTTTTAGGCCTCAGTTTCTCGGAGTCCATTTCTATCCACTCGTCGTATCGCTGATTCCAGCCGTCAAAGTGAATCATCACCATCTTCTCCTCTTCATCAATCTCCACAATCTTAGCTGAGTACCTAAAAAAAAAACACCCCAGCTCACTATCTAAATCTAAACAATCTTTAGTATGTACCATAAAATTACAGCACCAACTTGATGCAAGAATATAAAACATACATAAATTAAAATTAATCAATTAATCAATAAACAGAATATTCCCTAAGAACCAGCTAAAGGCCAAACTGGCCGCTTTAATTGATAAAAAGGCCGCTGTGAAATAAAAAAACAAACAAAATTTATGTTGTAAGGTCAGCAGAGAACTTCGGACCCCAGCCTGTCACAACTCTTACCCTTTACTTTGAAATAAAGGGAAAACCCTGAATAAATAAATCTAACAAATTAAATGAACTAATGGATAATGATCTGACCATTTGGAGCTGAAGTCCATGGCCTCGAGTCTCTCCCCCTTCCTCCAGTTTATGCCCGGGCGGACGGGGAACTTCTTACTGACCGCGGGGGGCGTCTGTGTGGTGGAGGAGGCACTGGAGCACGTACTGATGTCATCCGCATCCAGCCGACTTCGACCCAAGGAATCCGAGTTCAGCGGCAGCGACGAACCCTTCTCAAACTTATCTGTCACATATCAAAATAAAATTCCTATTGAAGTTGTGAAATCAAGATATATAAGAAAATAATCTACTATTTTGACTCTTAGACTGGTTAACAAAGAATTAAAATGACATTATAATTAATTCATTATACCTGTCATGTCTACATTACTGCTGGATTCAGTGTTCTGTTCTAGTTCCTCTGTTGAGATCTTTCCAGCCTCCATCCCTCTGGAGGTACTTACCTGTGCGTCGGTTTTACTCTACAATCAATGGAAATAAATCTCAAAAAAAAATTATTTCATTGAATGGAAATTTATCTTATATCTAATAATCTGCAATATAAAAAGGTCTTGTGGATTTACTATTATATATTTAATACAAAGTTTGAACCATAGATATAAGATTAAGACTTCCAGCAATCATGACAATAGCTTGCTTCAAATACTTTATATTCACTTTTATAGGAAATCATAGTTGAACAAAGTATTTGAAAAAGACTTTTGGTGGAACTATTTAATGTTGAAGGACATTCAGATCAACCTACTGTATATTCCTTTTTATTAAGAAATTAATTTCCGTGTAATTTCACAAGACGCATCACTTGCGAAAAAATATTTCTTGTTTTATTTCTATGGCGCTGAAATCTATGTTAATTCTGTTGATCAACCGTCCATTTGCGAATTATAATTCTCACAATTTGACGTTGAAGAGCCAGTTTATGATAAAAAGTACTCACAAGAAATAAGGAATTTACAGTATTTTGATTATAACAAGAGGATAAAATCAGAGACCTTGGAATGGAATACTCAGAAGTCTCTGGTTTTATCCTAGATCTATAACCCCAACTGGAAACTTATACATCCCATCCACAGTCTTATTTTGCATTGAAGTAATTTTCTAGGAATAAATGAGTGGTTTACAATAACGAAGCTCAATGAGAGATGCCTGAAACGACTTAATTTACAAAAAAGTCTCTTGAAGTGAAAGATGACATTTTAAAGTAGGTTATAATCATGATAATACCGGCTAACAAAATACGAGCTTAAAGCGTAGGTGCCTGAAATTGAGTTGGGTACTTTGTGGTAAAAATAAATATGGTTGTCCAATATATGAAGCAAGTGCCTGTGCAAATAACCATGTGTCCCTAATCGAGAGAATGACCAAAAAAATTCCAAAAAAAATAAACTCCTGTTTGGTGGTCAATCACCCAAATATCCCTTTATACACCTCCAAATGGTGGTCTTTTTTATTCAAATCTAATTCATATTAAAAATAAAATAAAGCAAAAGTGCATTTACTTAGGCATTGGGGAATTTTAATTAACATATTCCTTGCAAAATTAATACAATTTAGTCAATCTTCCATGTGTAATTTCTGTGGAACTTTGTAAAAATGATACTCCCAGCTGTTCGTGGCGGCCGAACTATTTGCTCAGTCAATACGAAATAATATGTTGTTGAGTATAGTTTGGTAAAAATTATATTTAGACCAGAGGTGTAGTCTAGAGAAGTACATTTTCAAACAGTCTTTCAATGTGTGTCGATATAAATCTCTATAAAATCCCTTTAAACACGAACTCCTAGCATTGTGTTGAAATTCTTTTTTCGTTCAGAGTACAGATAAATATCTATATTTTATTCCGCATTAGTTAAAATTATGTGCCACTTCATGCCATTCCAGAGAACTAAACAAGACGATCCCCCCCCCCCCCTTAGGAAGATATATAAAGACGACGATATGGGCGATTGACAACCAAATGGGGGTTAAATGACCATTTGGCGGTGTGTGCCCAACCTGAGTATAGGTTAATCGAAACAGATACTAAGGGCGAAACGATTACACGTGTAAACGGCGACGTTTCGATTATATGCTCTAAACGTTTACAGTTTGAGTAAACGTTTACACGAAGGTCATTATCAATGTTTATCAGAAATAAAGTTTAACACAAACAAATTGTTTTATTTCGTAATTTACAAAAGAAACAACGTCTTTGACCAATCTAAACCGGAAACATATTGAATGAAAATATCTAAAACCGATACGGGCTAACATAATTAATTCCGATTTCCGAGTTGCTAATACTAGCGATGTTTTACGACACTTGAAATATAAAACTTGATATATTTTGATTAAATAAATATAATACCTTTTTCACAAGTCTTTGAAAAGTTTCAATACAGTCAGCAGGTCTTGTTTTACTATTTTCGAGATTGAAAGATCCATCTTTACAAATATTTTTTCTACGTCCGGTAGCCAAACAAACCAAGCAGTTGGGTGACGAGGTCGAAAGTGAATGAGTTTAATGCACCTCAAATTCTTACGGTTAAATCACAATGACAAACAATAAATTTGTAATAACAACTCATACTTATATTAAAGTGAAAGAATTGATTATTAAATTCGAGTTTCATGAGTAAGTAGCCATAAAAATCCAACATAGAATATCTCCCGTTTAAACGGTACCGTTTCGTTTACTGCTATCCGTTTAAACGTTTACAAAATTCAGTAAACGTTTCACCCTTAACAGATACGTATTGAAACATGCGAAAATGAGATGGAACTCAACCTCTAGTCCAAGGAATCAAGCTAGCAAATTTCTAGTGAGAATCCTGGTTTATAAGATAGCATAATTTACAAAACCATGGTTTAGAATTCAGGATCTAAAATATCTTAAAACTGCCATTCTTAATTAAAAACATGGTGGATGGAGAGATTGCTATATTTTTAACACTGAATTATACTTGAAGAAAGAGTTTCAATAATTTGATACATCAAAATCTGACAAAATACAAAGAAATAAAGACTAAAA